ACCAACTCCAGGCCCGGCTCCAAGGTGGTGCCCTGGTGACCTGCGTCCAGGTGAGGGGACACTGATTGTGCTCTTCATAAAGGGTCTTTGGGCTGCTCTTTGTCTGGTTCATCACCTCTAGCATTGGGTGACACTACAAGGGGCATGAAACCCCTGACAGCATAACTCCTAGAGTCACTTCAGCACTCAAACACTTTCATCATGATAAGGTGGCAGCCTATGGAGATGAAGAGAAAATAGGAAATATATTTTTTAAATATAAAATTGCCTAAAAAAAAAATAAAATGGGTCAAAATGAATAAAAAATGAGCGTACCTCATTGCTCCAGTCTACTAAAATAATTTTACACTGATTTCGAGTAATTGGGTCACAGTTTAGTGAGAACTCCTGCCCTCGTTCTCACATCACACCAGTGTTAAAGTCCCTACACTGACTCCCTGTAGCTCATAGACTAGAATAGAAAAATACTGTTGTTAGTTTATAAATCACTGAACGGTTTAGTACCACAATACATTAAAGATCTGCTGTTGTACCAACCTTCCAGACCCCTCAGGTCTTCTGGTTCTGGTCTGCTCTGCATCCAGAACCAGAACCAAACAAGGAGAAGCAGCATTCAGCTTCCATGCACCACAAATTTGGAACAAATGTACAGAAAACTGTAAAACAGCTGAAACACTGAGTGTCTTTATATCTCGACTAAAAACCCACCTGTTTAGAGTTGTATTTGAAACGTAATCAATTACGAATTTAATGACAGCTCTTAACTTAATGTAATGTTTTGATTGTTGATTCTATGTTGCATGACTCTGTGTTTTCATGTTTTTATTATGTAAAGCACTTTGAAATGCCTTGCTGCTGAAATGTGCTGTACAAATAAAATTGGATTGATTGAATACTTAGGATCTAATATAAATATACCTACAAATTATAAAAAGGACTCAAATCGAAAATAAATGTCTGTGCCTCATCTAAAGAGACTAGTAGAATTATTTCACACTGATTTTGCATCAATAGGCCAGACCGAGGTGGCCGAGGCCCCGGGAAGCCTCGGAGGGTTTATCGGTCAGAAAGGCTCCAGAGAGCCGAGAGAGACTCGGAGGGACCCGGAGCGGCAACACTTACCTCTGTTAACAAGTCAACATGTTATTTCCACCCTGCGCTCAAAATGGAGGCTGAGTTGAAGAAAAAGATCAGTTAGTTTCAGTTTCTTGTGTTTTCTTCAGTGTCCAGAATCAAAGTTTGATTCATTTGAATAAATATTAACAGTTCAGTTTGAGTTTACAAAGTGAAATAAAACTAGAATAAAGATAGAAAACTTTCAGTATTTCTGTTTTGCTGTTATTGAAGAAGATTTGGAGCTGAGCAGCTTTTTGTTCTGCAGAAAACCAGCAGAACAAACGAGTTTAACAGGTTTTTGATTGTGGATTATGAGCGCTCACTGCCCTCTGGTGGTGAACTGTCGTAACTACAGATATCCCACTACATACTAACCAGGTCATTTGTTTAACTTAATTTGTTCTCATTTTCACCTTTATTATCGGGTCAAATAAAATCAGCTTAAATTAATGTTGTTAAAGAGCCACTGCAGGGTTAATAAATGGAAAATAAAATTAAACAGTTAAAAATCCTCACAAAAAGAGGATGTCTAACTTTAAGAATAAAGCCTGAAAAAAATATATAAACTATAAAAATGTGTAATTAAATCCACCTGCTGAGATCAGAGCATTGAGCAGGATGAAAATATCTAATGGAAAAAAATTCATTATAAAAGTTAAAGTTTAAAATGTTATTAGTTAATATTTCTTATTTAACTGCAATCTGTTGTATAACTGAATTCATCTGTGAATAAATGTATTACATATACAACAATATCATGGTGCAACTGTTAATGTTATTTAAATACTTTTATCTGTTTTAAATGACTTGGAACAGGAAAGTTATATGGTGGTGGTTTAAAACCTCGGCAGAATTTAATTTCATGCTTCTAAATAAAAGTTTAAGGGTGAAAACAAGAAAAGTAAAATGCATTATTTAATATAAAGCTAACGGAGGATATGAACTCGTTTCCATAGCTCTTAATGTGAAAGTATTCAAAAGAAGTGGAAGTGATGTGTAAATTCTCCAGCTTAATGGTATAGCTGTAGTTTCTTATCACCATAGACATCACACTTATTGTTTTGAAAAACACAAACCGGAAGTGTTTTATTTGTCTTCCGCTTTCCTCTTTAAATTTGTCTCGTGTATAATATAAAAATTACTTAATAATGTTGTAATGTTATTTACACACTTAAAAATATTATTTAGTAACTTAGTAATAATTATCATTAATACAATATTTATAAAATTATTCAATCTCCCAATTATCATAAAGGTTCTTTAAAACCCCAGCAACTTAGTCTTGCAAGAATATTTTACGCTTTCTTATTTTCCTGTTAGATCCACAAGAGCATCAGTACATAATACATTTTCAAATATTAGTAAAAGTGTGCAGTTTCTTCATCACCGTCATCATCCTCTCCCGTCTCCATCCAAACTGATATCTGATCCTCCTCTGACCCACAGCTTTCCTGTCAGACCTCAGATGTTCCACCTCAGTCATGGACTCTCCTGCTGCCACCAGTTTGTCTCCAACCACGTTAGGAGACGCTGCTGCCTCCACCTCCAACTTGTCTGTGTCTAGCAGTGAAGACGCAGCTGGAGAGGCTGAACCGGAACAAGGCTGCAGGTCCAGATGGTGTCAGTCCCAGAGTCCCTCTGTGGGATTCTGCAGCGTCTCTTCACCCTTAGCCTGACCCAAGAGGAGGTTCTGTTGTTGTGGAAGACATCCTGCCTGGTTTTGGTACCGAAGAAAACACATCCATCAGTCATCAACGACTGTAGTCCTGTTGCCCTGACAACCCACATCATGACGGTCCTGGAGAGACTCTGGTGGCCCACTTGAGGAAGCAGACGAACTCAAATCAGAACCCCCTGGTGTTTGCTCATCGCCGTGGAGTTGGAGTTGATGATGCCGTCTGACACCTGCTTCAACAAACCCAGTGTCATCTGGACGAAGCAGGCAGCACAGTGAGGATCAGGTTCTTTGATTCTCAGGTACATTGAACATAGTTCAGCCTGATTGGTTCTGTTAGAAACTCCAGAAGACGAAGGCGGAGGCCTCAACAGTCGTCTGCGTCTGCGACCACCTGACAAACAGACCACAGGTTGTGAGAGTGAAGGACTGAGTGTCTAACCAGGTGGTCAGCAGCACAGGAGCACCACAGGGCTCTGTACTCACCATTCCTTTCACTCTCTACACTTCAGACTTGCAGCACAAGTCCGACTTCTGTCATCTGCAGGAATACTCAGACGACTCTGCAGTTGTTGTGTGAATCAGAGAAAGACAAGAGGCCGAGTACAGAGATCTGGTGGAGCGCTTTGTGGGAACCATCATCTAATCTTGACTGTAAACAAAACAAAGAAGATGGTTGTTGATTCCAGGAGAAACAGGGTTGGATCAAACCCTATTTCCATCATGGGAGAAGATGTGGAGGTGGTTCAGGAACATAAATACCTCTGTGGTCACCTTGACAACAGACTGGACTGGAGAATCAACAGTGAAGCCGTCTATAAAAAGAGACAGAGCAGACTGCACTTCTCCAGGAAGCTAACATCCTTCAAGGTTTGCAGCACGATGCTGCAGATCTACAAGTCTGCTGTTGAGAGTGTCGTCTCTTCTGCTATCATCTGTTGGTGCAGCAGCATCAGAACCAGGAACCTCAAAAGGCTCAGCAATCTGATAAAGAAGGCTGGATTTGTTCCGGTTCTGTTCTGGAGACGACTGGAGCATCTGGAGATGATGATGCAAAGAAGGATTCTTCATAAGAGTCAAGAAAGCTATGGACAACTCTGACCATCCTCTTCATGAGTCTGTATGGGGGAAAACAGAGCTTCATCAGTCAGAGGCTTGTTCAGATTTGATGAAATACAGACTGCTACAAAAGATCTTTCCTGCAACAGCAATCAGCCATCTATAACAGAAGAATCTGAATTTATGAGCAACAACTACATTTAGTTTCCCTTTGGGATTAGTAAAGTCAAAGCATGTTTGGGTAATTCTTGCACACTGCTCAAAGTTTGATAGAAAAAAATATTGAACAGTTGGAAGATATGGTGGAAGCATTTTTTGTGGTTTCAATGAAATTAACAAAGAATGTAAAAATCTAATTAGGTTTAGCTTTACCTAAGCTGTTTCACCTGTTTGCAGCTCGTTTTCCTGTTTGCAGCTCGTTTCTGATCTAGTCATCATCTCCTCAACTTTAATCTGTTACAACCAGTAGATCAACAGGTGCAGCAGGTCTTCTTTATATTGGCCAACTCAAGTCATGAGACATGAGTTCATGGAGAAATGAAATAAAGAGAAAAGACAACAGAGTTTTAAAAAAAACAGAGAATATTCATCTAAAGAGAAAAAAGAAAAAGTTTGAAATTTGATCTCAATTTCATTCACATTTAAAATTGTCAGCCAGGTAAAAATAGTTTTTCTTACTTTTTTCATCAACAGGGTTCTCTTATCTACCTCCACCTGACTGGTGGTGTTGAAGGTGAAGGTTCACAGGCTGAGGAGATCCAACCTGGGATGACCAGAGACATTATTGATCTGCAGACTCTGAATCTGGGGTCAGAAACCAACGCTGGCTTCTCAAATATTCAACATCTGACTGATGAACAGGTGAAATTTCAAAATAAGATTTTATGGCAATGCTTGGTTTGTTATTGAAGGACCTACTTCACATGATCTGTCTCTTTATTCTGTGTCCTCAGCTGTCCCCCTGTTGCACCAGGAATCTTCTTCTATGGACATTCAGCAGGATTTTCTGTGTCCCCTCAGTCCTCTGTGTCTTCTCTCTCCTGATTGGTCCAATGCTGTTGTCTTGTTTCACTGATGGTGGAGAATCAACACATGATCAGACACACATTCCTTCATTTCTGTCTAAATAAGAGATCACTGAATCAGACTTTCTGATCAATTCATAATTATGTCCTCACCATTTCTAAAACCTACTATAGCCAGTAGATCAGCAGGTCCTCTGCTCTATTCCTGATCCTCCTTCCATCAGCACAAAGCTCATCAAAGCTCTGCTGTTATGAAAGGACTCAAAAAAATCACACAAAACAAAAGTGTCAGTAAGGAGAAAGTACAGCAGAAAACAGGAAATAGATTTGAATGTTGAACATTTTTCGTTGTGTAAAAGTGCATGTCCTTACATTTTTTTCAACTGGGTTCTCTTATCTTCCTCCATCTGACTGGTGGTGGTGAAGGTGGAGGTTTACAGGCTGACGAGATCCAACCTGGGATGATCAGAGAATCAGAGATCTGCCACCAGCAGGAGGGAAGCAGCATCATGTGAAAGTGGAATGAAAAAACTTACAAGCAGCGTGAAAGACAAGGGATCCAGAAGGTAGGAACCACATGGACAACGACGAAAGGATCCAACGATGAGCAGCTACAACCTGAAAGATTGAAAACTTGGAGAGTGGATTAGTAGAGGAACAGGAAAGAATAATTTACTATACTGGAGAGCACTATGTAGGGAAGAACCACTGTCACACCTGAAACATGGAGAGTAGAGGAAAACGCAAAGATGAAGAAAACCGTGGTGCAAGGAGCTACCTAAGGCTTCCACAGGCTTGCTAGAAACCCATTGGCTTTAATAAAAAACCAACAAGAAGTGATGATGTTCTTATTCAACTTCCCAAAACGGTCTTCGGTTTTTACGGATCCCAATCTACTCGGAGTCACTTGACAGGACGTAGCGAGGTCTAAACCACACGTGTCTGGAACTCTCTCTTGCTGTAATTCCACTGGATGTTGAAGGTTTTGGTTCCTCTTCCATGTCACATGGCATCATCCTTGGTGGGGGTCTGAAAACACGGGGTGACAAAATAGGACGTTTACGCGCTATTTTACAAGAGGGACTGAGGACGGGGGGTGACAGTCCAGGATCCTTACGTGATGACAACACGTTAGCAACACTGTCCCTGGTCCTCTTGGCACGGAGGTCCTTTTCAGGAAGAGGACGTGCCCGAAAAACTGAAAAGAGATCACCACTTGGAGGAAGACCGATCTTGGTCCTCTTGGCAGGAGGCTCCTCTTCAGAAACGGTGTCTCTGGTCCTCTTGGAGGGGAACTCATCATCAGCTTGGTTCTCCCTGATCCTCTTGGCAGGAGGCTGCTCTTCAGAATCACTGTCCTTTCTCCTCTTCCCGTTTATGCCAGTCACAGATGTCACATGAGCCGCGTCCTCTTTCATACCTACCTGATGAAGAGGCTTTGATGAAGGGTCGTCCGCCTTTGCAGCATCCACCTTCTTTGTAGCTCTCCTGGCGCGGCCAAAAGTCAAAGAAGCCACTAAACTTTTCCAGCCCCCGAGAGGTTGTGGCGAGACACCGATTGGTCCAGAGTCCTCTGGACGCAAAATTGGCTCTTCCTGTTTGTCAAGTCCAGGTGTGAATTTAAAGCTGGAAGGAAGCACGGTACCAAAACTAAGCTTTGATGGTGGGTCTTCCTCCTTCGCAGCATACACCATATTTGTTATTCTTCTGGCGCGTCTGGAAGTCAAAGAAGCCCCCTTCTCTTCCAAACCTACCTGATGATGTTGCAAGGTCGCGATAGGTCTGGACTTCTCTGGACGCAAGTCATCCTGGTCTTCATTACCTACCTCGTCCCCAATGGAGCTGGTAGAACAGTCCACAGACTGCAGAGCTGAACTATACCTCAACTCCTCTCCATGGTCTTCAGAAACCACATCGGCTTCATTTAACCACACCTTACCGTGTTCCTTACCGTTGTCTGGATTTCCCTCCAACGTTGGGGATCCATCTGCTGGAAGCGCCATGGTATGGGCTGTAAAGGAAAAAACAAAGCAGAAAGAGCTATAATTCAGTATCTTAGCCTTCACAAAAGTCCAAAGCAATGTTTAGAGGGAGCACTGAAATACAATAACCCAGGTTTGTGAATGTGTTTGTTTTTCTTGAATATATTTAGTTAACAATATTATTGCAACACCAGATGTGATTATACAAGAAGAACGGGAATTAAGAGATAAAATAAATAAAGCTCATCTTTAGTCACCAAAAAACACAATTTTAGATAAAAACCAGAATGCACTCTAAAACTAAAGGGTCAAACATGTATAGACCATCACCACTCAGACAAACAAACTTGCAGCTAGGGCTGTATAATAATATCGATATCGTGATATATATCGATATTTTCTTGCCTAGAAAAAAATCGATATTCATCCGCAAGTATCGTAACATCCAACTGTCACCTTGCTCACTCACTGCTTGCTTCGCCGGGAGAGTGATTAGGTCATCAGGCTTAGAGTGATTCCTTCAGATGTTAAGTGTCAAGGTTAAAAAGGTATCAAACTATTCAGAGCAGGGTACTTGATGCACTTTATTTACTTTACAAATGCGTGTAAGCTACAGTTTGTACTGTTTCAATTAAAAGAAACATGTTTTCTCACCACTTCTTTGATTCATTTTGTCCAGCTGTCGACTTTAAGTCTGTGTCCAGGTCCAACCAGAGCCAGGTATTGTGTAGTTGGTGCTTTTAATCAGTTTTCAGTTAAATTAATTCAATCCAACTCTATAACAGTCACAGAATATCACCAAAATCAATCTGTCCCTCTAAAATCTTTCAGAAAATCGTAAAAGTGTATTGAATTGTATTGTTTGCTGAATATCGCAATATATATCGTATCGTGGGCAGAATATCGTGTGATTATTGTATCACTACAGCCCTACTTCTTGGTACCAATCAATCATTAAAGACAACAAATCAAATTTAGACTTATTGGTAATTCATCCTTAGCCATAAACTCTTAAACATTTGGAAACATAAATTAAAGAGCTATACACTGTGTTTAGGACTTTTAATAGCTAATGAAACACCTGTAATCTTAGATTGTGCCATTAGTGTGAATAAAATAAAGCCCTGCAACAAGTTACTCAGTTTACCCTTCTATAACACATCCTCACAAATCTTTGATGCTACTGGTACATTTTATCATTCTCAATAATAGCCAGGGATACGATATGTGATCCATTCATTATACTTAAATCACTGCTTACACAACTTTAACACTTTAAAAGCATCAAAGTTTAAAATATATATATTTCCAATAGCATTGTAAATTACCAAAATATTAATTGTAGCTAATCAAACTAAATTCCTTTGAGCTCCACAATTTTTCACAATCACAGCCACAGCTGCTCTGACGACCCATCAGTACTGCCTTCATACACCCACATACAGCCAACAGCAGAAATGTACACCTATAAAATGAAAAGTTTTATAGATGTACATCTTTTAAATAAACAGGCCGACATAAGTGGCTTTCCTCCCGTTTCCAGGGGCTCCAACAAAAAATTAAACTGTTTATTTGGTTTAGAAAACATATCCGGTGTTGAAATAGCCGTTGTATTTTGTCTGGTGATAAGCCAGACAAAATAATTAAAATAATAATCTGCATCCCTTATAGGTAATTTTATTTATATAGCACATTTTCAGCAACAAGGCAATACAAAGTGCTTCTGTGTGCATGATGCCTCAAAGTCTCACTATCACATGTTAATATTACTCCAAATGGGTCAGTTATGGCTGAAGGTGGTGTTATGAAATTCATTACATCAGTCAGAAGATCATGGCTGCACACAACCCAGCAAGAAACTCAGAGGAATGTTGACACAATTATATTGCTCCAAATGCTTCTTTCAATATTACCATCTCCATGGAGACAAAGATCAACAAAATGTAATCAGTGTGAAAATATATTACAGCTTTAAATATGCAAAGGACCAACACAGCATTACGTAAACCACTAATTATTCAAAACTCCTCTTTCTTGGAAAAATAAAACTAAACAATAAGTTTAAATATAAGCTAAACTACTTATAAATAATATAGGGCCAATATATATCTAAAAACTTTTCTAATATTCAAATATTAAGGTTTTATTTTAAGCAGCGTCTCCAAGGAGACCAAATGTGTTTTGGGGGCATTTTCTGAAACCTGGACCAGGCGCTGACTTCTTATTCCAAAGATCTGAATAAAACAAAACGGATCTTCTAAAACCAGAAATAACTTTTTAAACCACATAAGCAATGTAAAACCTTTAACTAACAAATGAGTCACAACTGGACCAACTGAAAGCGAGATCTTTGTTTTTCTAATGAATTTTAACATTCACAGTTAACATTCATTTTAGTAATATGTCACTAATGGAGCAAAACATTGTTTTTCTGGTGTTGAGAACTTGCAATAAACTAAATAATTTAGTTACTTTGTGAAATCAACAGGCACACATTGATTGTTCTGTAAAGATGTTTTTCTTTTAAAATCAGTTCACCCATGTAGGAAAACTAAACACACATTAAGTCTATCAATAGATAGGAGAAGGCACATGTCTGCAAGTGTTTCCTAATTTTTATTGAAGTCATTTAAAATAATGTCACCAACGTATCCATGGAAACTACATATATTTGTCTGGGCTTTTTTTTTTTTTTTTAACGGACAAGGAACCATCCAGTTTACCAAGAAATGGATTCCAAAGTCATCAAAGCTGATTTTCACAAAGAAATTGTTATTTCGTTTGTGAAAATCAGCTTTAATTGATGATCACTACGACTATACCCAATTCATTGCCTATTAATGGTCTATCATTAACGTCCACACACACACTTATAATGCTCATAGCTGGGGCAACAGAGGTAGGAGTTTGCCCTGCAATGGCCGCCTCTGTCGTTTAGTCCTTGAGCAAAACACTTCTCCCACCTTTAGATGGAGTTTATTGCTGGCACGATACAACATCTGTGGCTACAGTCCTTTAGCTTATTATCATCAGTGTGTGAAGGCTGCATGAATGGAAATGTTATGTTAAGGGTCCTCGAGTGTCCTAATAAATCATCACATCTAATGTCATTAACATGGAAACCAAGTACGTTTGTCAGGGCATAAAAAAAAATAATAATAAAAATAAAGGCCAAGAATTGGACAGACATCTGACTGTTTTTTCAAACCAGCAAAAGTATTTTTCTCAAACACTAGTGTTATTATCCAAGACATTTATCCACAAATGCCAATATGCTAACACTTTAGTCACTAAACAATTTAAATTAGCTCAAATTTCTTTGACCCCACAAATGCAAAAGAGAACTATTAAAGCTATATATTTCAAAGAAATCATCAAAATTTCAAAGAACTGGACACCAAAGTCATCTAACCTGATAGTCTTAGATTATATATAACCCTTTTGTTTTGTCAAATCAATTCACCCATGTTTCCTGGCTATGCTAAAAAATAAACAGACCATGTAAACAATTAAAATCTACGCTGTTATAAGCGTAAATACCATTTAATATATATATATATATATATATATATATATATATATATATATATATATATATACATTTATAAATTATATATAAACATATAAAGGTATTTCATTTAGCGTATCCATGGAAACAGTGTTTATCACAGCATTTTTCAAAAAAAATAACGGTCAAGAAACAAGCTAATTTTACAGAAATTTGACGTTAATTTAACTAATTTGACTATAATTAAGTAAAATACACATTTCTTAGACCACCACACCACAGTTTAACATTCCTGACATTTCCAGCGAAATTCAGTTAAGAAACGGCTCATTAGTTAAGAACAATCTATGCTATTAAAGAATGCTACTTGTCTTTTTTTTCAGCAGCAGTCAGTATTTCTTTAAAACACACACACAAAATAAGTCACTAATATCTTTGTAATAACTTTCTTTCATTTATTTAAAGTAGTAAAAATGATTTTAACCTTCCAGCCGATCTCCCTGCTGGTGCTTCTCCTGGCCAGGAACCATCTTTCGCAGGTTTGTTTTGTCACAGGCTTCTTCAGCAAGTGCGATTTTCAGCAAATGCTTCGTCAGAAAGTTTTGCTAGCAGACTTCTAGACAAGCTCAATCCTTCCGAGGCTTCAAATGCTTCTTCAGGCGTCTCTCTCAAAAGTCCCATCGAAAAGGGGAAGAATTCAGAAGGTCCGCGTTATTTATAGGGTTGAGAACGCTAACGTCGTTTCCATGACTTTCAATGACGAACGCACGCGCTGCAAGTATCGCGTTGTCTTATTACTCCTATGCTGCCACCTACTGGCCAATCAGTCTAAGTGTGGCGGGAACAGTGTGATAATTGGCAACTTAAATTCAAACGCATTGTTTTAGTAAAGATAAAATTGGTTATAATGACTCCACTTTAAAAGTTACCTTAAGGCACACAGACCCGCTTACAGATGAGGCTTGAGACAATCTCAATTCAATAAGTTTATTTATTACACCATTGTTTTAGTTAAAAAATATTAGCTTAAAACCACTCACACATTAAACGCCAGTTCTGGCTCAACTCAGGGAAGAGTGAAATTCGGGGTAGTGTCCTAAAAGAAAAGAAACGCAGCACACGAAACAAGGCAAAAACAAAAGAAAATCGTGCACCAAACCAGAAGGACCACCACCCGGAAAGTCCACCACCAACACCACGAGCTGGCCGTTCCTGTCAAAATAAAGGAGAGAGACATTCAAATTACAGACAATACATTTATGCAGTTCAGCCAAATTAGCCACACTGTACGAGTGGTAGGAGCCAGCTTTACGCCGACCAGGACGGCGGGCATGAAGCCAGCAAACAGGCTGGCTTCATGCCAGCCTGCCTGGATATGCAACAGAAGCTGAGCTAAAGCTAAGCTAACAAATGTCAAGTGTGGGAAGATTCTTACCAGAAGGACGATTGATCGGCGATCAGAGCGTCATTAAGCGCATTGTTTGAGCGCACGCATTATTTTGCAGCTGTTATACAGAAAACGTAAATATATCACAAGTAATAAGCTTGATTGAGCGAGATGAAGCCTGCCTTACCGAGCGTGCAGCACCAACAAACGCCGCGGTCTGAACCGGAAGGAAAACAACGTGATGTCAGCCAGCGCCACAACCAATTAGATGCAGGCACTTGTGTGGTGCGTCCAAAGGCCACAGGGCATACTGCCACATAAGTTCACAATGTCATTTTTAAAACTTAAGCAACTGACGCGACATTATATTTCAGCTTTCATTCTTAACTATGCCAGTTTCGGACCTCCAAATGGGAAAACTCTCTGCTGTGAAGCCTGGATTGTAAAACATAATTCAAATTCAAAATTCAATTAAAAAAATACTTTTTTGAATCAAAAGGAAAATTAAATGTTGTCAATAAATGTTCTCTCTAATTTTTCATGTGTCTGGGCATACACAAAAGCTCCCTGAGCACACTGAGGACCACTGTGAGCAACATCAGATGTGCACACTGTAACCTCACACATCACAGCCGTTCAAAATCAGTGTGTTAGTTTTAGGGAAGCCAGCTGTTCGTTGTACTTGTTCAAAAGAGGAATAAAGTTGTTAAAGCATTTATCTGCCTCCTCCTTGCTTTTGCCCGCCAGCGGAGCAGAAACGATAGGAGCTTGTTACCAGCGAACGAGCCGAAATAGAGACCAGCCCGTTTAAAACCAGCCTCTGATTGGACTCTGAGCCAATCAGAGTCCACACATCCTCCTTTTCATACAGGTCTTTAGACCCGGACTAAAAATTAACTTTTCATCCCGCATCGTGATGCTCGTAAATTAAGGAAGCATAATCCTTAATGGCTTTTTTTTTTAAGTATTTACCTGCAAGACAAAGAAAATGATTAGTGACCAAATGATCGCAGAAGGCCTACATTCAAGGACTCTGTTCAGGCGGTCATTGACGTCAATCTGTGACGTTTGACTCGCGATTTGAGTTTTAAATCCGAGGATCACGTCATGAAAGACTAGCTGAGGCAGTCAGGTCCAGGTGACGCACAGGTCTTATGACGTAAAGTATTTGAATGTAGGATTTCATTTTTTTTAGTATTAAAGTTTAATTATGATCCAAATGACGCATTTCAATTAAAATAAGTCATTAACAGATTATACAAAGAAATTAAACACTATATAAGTGGTTAATAATAGT